ATCTAGTCGCATCGCGTTGTACCAGTCTGAACGCGTATACTTGGTGCGCACGCCGAGCATATGCCTCATGAGGTCCGGGTCGCTCGTCACAACGTCGTTTGGACCGACGCGAACAAGAGATCCTGTGCGAGGAGTCAGCGAGCGTCGTGAACGACATTGAAAACAGTCGTAAGCACCATATTTGAGGCTGGCCTCGTAGAACTTGAGGTGCATGCTACCGCTATACACGGCACGTAAAAGCCACCAAAGGGAGAATCCGGCAGAGGGAGGGCCGGGGATGTGTCGTAGTCGTAGATACTGGTAAAGGATGAGCATGGCAGCATACAAGAACGGACCCCACGTCAAGATGGTCGTGAAGGCGGCAACATTCCCCATGGCGGAGGTAAGCTGATTGCGCTGGCTGCTGATTGCGCTGGCTGTCGTGAGCCCTTGGTGGGTAGCTTTGGCTGATGGATGACAAGAGCAAGGACGGTAGGTCAGTGGTTGTTACTCCGTCTCTGGTATATACCGGGATGTCTACGGATAGGGTGGTCTGGGGGGGAGACCTTTACTGATTTTTGAAAAAGGCTGTACGCTGTACAGTATACATACTTCATGGAGCCCATGATATGTCTTGTGGAATAGATATCGGTCATGGTGTCGTGGCAGATGCGATCACAGGCAGTTCTGGGTGTCTTTGCCCAAATCGACCCCTCCATGATGCGACTGGTGTGGGTTCAGCGAAGTGGTATGCAACACTGCAAAATGTGGCTCTTTGCGCCGCGGGGATGGTTTCGACCCTTTCGAACCTGTGCACGGCGTGAACATCGAGCAGCGAAGTCAACGGCCTAGGAAGCTGAATTGGGCAGCTACGTACCGGGTTCATGTCACCGCTTCTGGATCTTGCGCAAAGCAGTACAAGTATGAAAAGACATCGCGTCAATACCTGTCTGCCATCAGACCGACGTACGAACTCTCGCATTCGTCTCGCCGTAACAATGGGCTGTAATCCATCGAGACCTCTCAATGGCTCACAGACAGACGTAGACCAGACCCTGTCCACGCACTTTCCGCTCACCGTAACTCGTCCGCCTGGATACTCATACAATGAGCACAACGAAGCGTGTCGCCTTCTACGACCTTGGGCTGTGCGAGGCGCAAAGTCCCGCAGCTTCATGTTCGTTGTTCATGTCATCAACAATAGTTTGCTAGATAGATCGCAAACACTTGCCCAGATCAGGCTGCTGAGCCACTTGCAACAGCTCGCATACATCCATAAGCTTCAGGTTTTGGTCAAGTGCCTGGATTACTTGTCTGATACCGACGATGACCCATACGCGGCGGATGAGAAACAACTCTATCAGGGCATGCTAGCAGCGCGATCCAAGACAGAAATGATCCGTCTGTGGGACGACAGACCGCCGGCGGCTAGTTCTCCGAGCCCCGAAGAGACCACAACGGCCGAGCATCGCATCAGCGCC